GAACATTCCATAAAATATTGATGGGTTCGAGTTACCTCCAATTATCTCAAATATCCATTGAAATAAGTTATATCGATATATTCTATGATTACAATTTCTTTCGCTTTCGCAATATATTAAATTAAAAACGAGAGAAAATATAGGACTTGACTTGTATGATATTGACTGTAAATTGAAAAATTAGGCACGAAGTATAAGTATACTCGTGAAGGAAATAAACTGTCTGTTTTTCAGTATAATTTTCGTTAGGCTTGATAAAGCTTTCCACAGCATCTGCTCTCCCGTTAGATTGCTCTAGGTTCCTGGAGTGGCCCCGGACCACTCCACTCGCATGCTAAGACACTCTTCGGGCACGGTTATTGGTATTTAAATTTCTTCCATTTCAAGGAAAACGGTGTCGTCGGTTGTAGGTTAATTACACGCCAACGTAGGGCCCTGCGGACTTTATAATTATTGCCAGGGAGAAAGAGAGAGACCGCGTCCGTGACTAAGGGAAAGTCACGAGTATCGATGCCGTCCGCGCCATTCTCATTTCAGTTAATTAATTCTCCGTTTGGCGCACATTTGCGGAAGCATTATTTTTACATTTTCAATTACCCACTTCTTATGCATACATTAGAAGAAAACTGTCAAATGTACGAAATTAGTTTATCATAAAATTGCTAACGTGAAAGTTTGAAACAAATCAAATATGGAATGAAAATTATTATATTGCAATAGCGTCGTGCAAATTACTTTATTTCTTATAGTAGAAAAATACAATTACGTAATGGAAAGTTAATTCCTTTGTAGTATTCTCATTACATTAGAGCTATCAAGAGATCGAGTCAGAGGGAATATACGCGAACAGTTTCAATTGCAACGAAGCCGGTTTACTTATTTCCCAGTGCCTCCCGATCATTCAAATGTAAATTAAACATGAACGAGGAAAGTGGGGTTCATTCAGCAAGATTGAATAGTACTCGCCGTTTTACTCCATCACTCCCTGCACTTTGGTCGAGTCTCCCCTTTTCTTTTTACGCCCCTCTTTTGTCAAGCCCCAACCCTAAGGGACTTCTTTTCCCTCCCGTTTCATTCCTACCTTTAATACTATGTAATAGTATTTTCTTAAGTGTTCCACACGATGCAATTTCAAGCTTGTCATGATTTCTAAACGGTTCTCTCATGGAGTTTAAAATCAAATGCATTATTGCATGTTCCATGATTTGTAAAAGTTGTAAAATCTGTAGTATGTTTTAATACTCATGTCAAAGTAATTTCTACTACTTTTTAAGTACTCTTTAACTGAGACCGACAAACCAACTTCTTCAACGTTTCCGCATAATTGTTTTACCACAGTCAATAAAATAACATGGAGGTAGAAAGATGTGCACTCTATTTCAATATAGGTACGTAATCGAGCTTTCGAAAAGCCTTGTAGATAACGAAATTCGATTCTCAGAACTGAGGGAAATTTCTATCCGGTTTTACCCCCAAGGACTGACCGCACAAGCCGCAAATAATCCCACTGCTACATAATGCGTCCAAGTACCGAACTTTGTTTACCATATCGGTAGGGAAACGAACTTTCCCTGGCCCGTCGGCGAATAGTATATCACACGTAACGAAGTTCCCGTGGCGGCATGAAATTTAAACGAGGTCTTAATAATTTTCGCACCATGCCGCCTGCGCCGTGTCGCCGCGAAAAAAGAAGCAGAGATCGGGCAAACTTCTTGACTATAGTTTCTCATTTCGCAAGTTTTTAGCCTCCGATAACCTCCGTGTCAGAACTCGAATTGATGCTTTATAAATATTTCAGTGCCCTAAGAAACAATTCGCCACCGGTTTTCGTCGGAAGGAATTAACTTAATTATGTATGAATACTAGAACGATCAACGTGTACTGCCTGTTTTCGCAAGGCTACGTGTTTTGATGTTGCAGAGAACAGGATAGAATCTTTCGAGACTAAACCACAATTAAGTATATTTAAAATGAAATGAAAGCAAGTCATATTTCTCGTGGCTTGTATGTGAGCTTATAATAATTAGCAGAGGTGGAACTTCTGTCCAACGGTTAAACCGAAATAAAGCGCAAAAGGGGGTCAAAGGGTGAAAAATTCAAAGCAATCCCTGTTACTTTTAATTAAACAGATTTTTAACTGGTTTCCGGAGTTTCGTTGAGCTTTCTTATTTTAGCGCGTTATATTAATGGATGCAGTAACGCGGATAGATTTTCGACTAGTAAGGGAGATTTGGGAATACGTGATGTACGTTTAACGGATCAAAAGTGTAGCACAGCTTAGAAGCCGGAGTTACTCGAAACTCGGTTGAAGTTTGTTAAAGTCTGTTAAAGTCTGTGATAGTCCATCGAAGACAGTTGAAAGCCGAATATAGATAGACGATGTCAGGTGCTCTATTGGGAGATGCTTTATTAAAGCTCCTCTGAGCAAGTTTTAAAGTATTTGCGAAATTTTGTAATTATATATGTAAACGAAAAGAATTTTCTTGTACGAATTTAATATATTCATTTTTACACAGATAACTCAATACTATGCCATTGATCTTATTTACACGTGTACAGGAATTTTATTTTCTTAGTTTTGATAAGAGATCTCATTTACTGATTCCTCTCGAATTTTTGTCGTTCAATTTGACACGCAGAGAGAAAATCGAGTTTGACGAGCGAGGTATGAATGAGAATAGCCTGTGAGTACTAGAATTACTTTTTAGAATCTTTATTCCACCTAGTGATTATCAATCAAAACGGCGCTTTGTTCCACCAATGGCAGCCAATCCAGTGAACAGACGCACGACGGGTTCTCATCGTCCTCCTAATTAACGCTTACTCCGATGTCCTCTAATTGACACTCGATCCCTGACGACCACCGTCAACGATATCTCGGCAAATACTCTGGTTGATAGTCAACCCTCTTCCCCGAAGCCACTCCTCGGCTATAAAAGACTGAAGGGGGAAGAAAAAAAGGGGACGAAGACGCGAAGGGACGGAAGAGAGCAGAGAGGAGAACCGACGTTAGCCATCTTGGTCGTTCGTGTTGTATCGTTCTCGCGGATCGCTGCCTTTCAGAGCTCGTGCCATGCTTTCTCAGCATTGCTGCTGCCGCACTAGTATTGGTGGTGGTGGTGACCGTCGGTTTCCACCTTCAACTAGACACCTACCATACTTCTATCCGCTACGAAACACCTTTCAGCGCTACCTCTGCGGTCTTTTCCCTCTGTCTAGCTACTCCTATTCGGACACTTGGTTCTCGTTGCTCGGTATACTCTTTCCTTTCTTCTTTCTTCTCTACGACTATACTTCCCATTGGCGCAAACCTTCGACGCTTTTCCACTTCGTTTCAACCTCGTACATCGTGATTTGGCCGTTTTCACCGGTGCCTCTCGCTCGGATTCATCATCGTTTGTTACGCTGCTTGCTTTGCGGGAATTAATTGGACCCGAGCATGTGTCGCACTTCTCATGAATTATTTTTATTAAACGATATTACTCACGATCTTATTAAGCGAGTTAAGATAATTTGAAGTAATTAATATAATATAATAATTCTGAACTTTATTTGATTTGTTGAGATGTTGATTGAATTAAATCCGAGTTCAGATTCTTGAAGAATAAGGAGACATAAATTAGATTAGTATCTCAATTAAGGAAATTGTTATTGGATCTATTTGGAGTTGACATTAAACAGTCAGGAAATATTTATGTAACTACGATTTGCATGCGAAATGTGTCATGAATTAAGGAAGTTCTCCGAGATGTTTCAAATAACCATCGTGCAGTTTGTGAAAATTAAAAAATTTAAATCACGCCGATGCAACCTCTTTTCAGGTTTAATGATTCAGTATTGTTCTTAGGACGTTGTCTCTGGTGAAAATAGATTTCAATCAACAAATAATCTTTCGAAATAATTCATAATGAGACTTGCCATCCATAATTTCTTTTAGTTGTTTGCGATCACTATTAGAAATAATCGTGGAAAAATAATTCTCTCGGTAAATATTAGATAAAATTTCGAAATAACTCAAGAACATTTTGAAATTATACTCTACATTAAAATTCTTGGGAATAAAGGTAAATCTTTTAAATAATTTTCGTAAAAATCATGTTTTTCATGGAAATTCGCAGAAAACGCGCATGATGTATTAACGGATTGGGTTCTGCTGGCTGGAAACGCGAAACGAGAACGTATTTTTGACGGGTCAGTTGGAAATGCCCCGAATATAATTACTGTGACATACCAATTTATCATGTTGAGACAGACTATAAATTAAAGTTGATTATGATTGTAAGACAGAATTAGATACTTTCCACTTTACTTTGACATCACATGTCAAGCATAATGTTATAATGTACTGTTAGTTATCTTAATGATACTTAAATAGCTTCATTTCTTCAAGCTGACACTAAATCGATAAAGACTTCCAATTGTTATCTGGGTTAAATCATATATGTATATCACTTTACATTACTTGATTAGATCATTTAATATGTAACATAGCCGAAGTTGTGATAAAATGCGCCCCCAAATATATATTTAGATTTTCGATGTAAAAAGTACGTAATTACTAAAGACATTCGTTTTCCTAATGATTGCATTCATTCTTTTACCAAGGAAAATAAAAAGCTGATTCTACAGCGACGCATAAAAGCGGACAGTCGTAGTTGAGACGACAAACGGTTCTTGATCATCGGTACCACCCAGCAATTTTTCAGCGCGCGACCGTCACGGCAGCGTTTTTCTGCGGCACACGAAGGGAGCCGTGAGCAATCTCGCGGCTATACACCTCCACCACAGGGCCAACCATCTACTTCGCGTACCCTCCGAACAGACAGACTACACGATGAGGAATCCTCTCCACCGCATCTTCGCATCGCCCCGTCCTCTTCCACCTGAAACGCGGAATCGCGGCGATCCTCGTCGCACCAGCTTGCGCGTTTGTTCGCTCCGCGTCTCTGAGCGGGCGCTTGCGCGTCGAAACGGCGCGAGGCGTCGGCGTCGTGCCGGGGGCGTCGCACCAACGTCGTCGGCGAACCGGCCGACCGTCTCAACCGAGCGTTCTCCTCTCGCCAGGCCAGTATCAAGCCGGGAGCCGTCGAGAGGGTTGATCCACCTCCGCAATCGGCGTTCACGTTACACTCGAACCACGTACATATCCGAGGAAACGACACGCCAGACGACGACGACCAGGGTGACGGTCTGTAGAGACTCAGTCGAGGGTGCGCGCGGGTGTAGTTGCACAACAGCACCGTGGCGGCTGTTGGCATTTCGTTCAGGTGCGCGGCTATCAGTGGAACTCACGGGGTTGGATGAGAAAAATGGGGCGTACGCCGAGCAACGAGAACCGGATCGATCGCGAAATAAACGTACGCTGGATGGACGACGACATCGAGTAACCTCCCTCAAAAGCGGAAACCGAACAGTCGGCGACGCGGGTCGTATCGTCGGCGGTGGCTCGTGTGTCTCTGTGAGAATACTCGCGCCATAGTGCGGTGGATCGCGACGGTGCCCGATACGCTACAGAGGATAGAATTCACCGGACACGGAGTCGTCGGGGTGAACGAGGGCTGCGTGATATCGTGTACACGAAAGAAACAGGGCTCGTCGCTGCGCGTCAGATCCAGTGGCCGAGTTCTAAGTTTTACTGGTCGCGTAGGGTGCGTGGTGAAAGTGGTCGTGTCACCGTGTATCAGGAGGTCGAGGTCGTGCCACCGAAGGTATCGTCGAAACGCGACGACCGCGGCGACGTTTTGAGTGATCGCCGACGAACGCAGGTGTCGCGATACGAATGATACCATTCCGACCCCGCGAATTCTCGTGACCCTGAGGAAATCGAGCCACGCCGTAATTGGACACTCTTTCGGAATCACCATAGTCGGAGCTCGAGCTGCACAAACCGAGGAAAGAACGGGGTGGTAACACGCCAGGAATCAACCAAGTGGAGGCTTAAGGGGCACTCGAAGAGACGACTACGTCGTCGAGAGGACAGACGGAGAAAGTGTGTCACCGACGTGGTACGAGGCACCTCGGGGGTGCCGTAGGTTAGGTCACCACGCTAGAGTCCCTTGATACGAAGCGCCGATAGGATAACAAACCCTCTGGCAAACGTCGCATTAATTACGTTCGGATTAAAATTCCTTTTCCCTGAATTCAAGTGATGCTCAACCGTTGACATGCTGACGCTCATAATTGAATCATTTTATCGAGACCCGACGAATCTCGGAGAAATATTAAAGTGATAAGAGTAATAACTGTTTAGCCTTGACACCAATATTCCCTTAGAAGTTAAGAAGCAAACGGAAATTCTGTAATTTGGCAATAATTCGAAGAGCTTCGTAACATGAATATGACATCGACGAGAAAGCATCGCCGGCAAGTAAATTCGATGAACCAGAGTCTTGATAACAAGGTTCCATTGATCTGATTACTGGAAAGTGAATTCATTAAGCGGGATCTGGTGCTGATTCGCGCTTGCACGAGTGACCGGGGAAAGATTCGTTCGAATCAAGTTGTGCGTAACGTGATCGTGAAGTGATATTCTCATTGAGCGGCATTCGATTGATGATACCAAGTGTGTAAGGGATGAATCATCGTGGAAAGTTGTGCTCGTAACGTGTCAGGTGTCTTGATTCGTCTAATTTCATCTTAGCATCAATTAACGAAAGACTGTATCCAAGACACACACATATCCAATTATCCTCGAAATTACTTAATTCTGCTTGTACTCTACTTAATTCCCCGGATTTTCTCATAAAGAGATACTCTACTCGTTACTGTCTCTAATAGCCTGCTTGCAATTTCGCGTGGGAGGAGATGAACATATCTTGAAGAAGTACACACATACGAGGTATTCAAGAAAAAAAGCTTGCCATTCCGCACAGACGTGTGCATAGTCACTCTCTCTTTCCATATCCGACACCCACGCACGTAGACGAGACCATCCGCGCGTGCGTGCTCACGTGCGAATGCAGCCGGTACAACGTGGCTAGCGAACAAGTACACAACCAACTATCCACTCAGATCGAAAGCCTTGTTAACAGTCGACCTACCCCGTACGGCCGAATGTCAAACCGTCGTTGCTGATCATCACATAAAATTAGACAGCAGAGATTTCGATGTAATGTGACGAAGAATCAGTCGCGGAAGTAACTCGTAGGTGAACATTTCTATAATTGAACAGAATCTGATGAACAGGATCTAGCATCCGACACGTAAATCATGCATTCTACGCTCGTGACCGGCAACGTATGCGCGCTGCTGCCGTTCCTGGTGATTTTACTCAGCCAGGTAGCCCTGTCGTTCGTGCTGGAAGGCTCGGCTACCAGCTACGCTCAATTCCGAAAATGGAACGCGGGCCTGAACGGCACCCTCGAGTTCGAATTTAAGACCGAGCAGGGTACCGGACTGCTGCTGTACACCGACGACGGCGGTACCTACGACTTCTTCGAGGTGAAGCTCGTCGAGAGCGCGTTGAGATTGAGATACAACTTAGGTGGCGGTGCGCAGATCGTCACCGTCGGCCACGACCTCGGCGATGGTCACTGGCACAAGGTGCAGATCACCAGGTGCAACGAGAACACCACATTGACAGTGGATGGCGTGAGCGCGGTCTCGACATCGCGCGGCAAGGAATTCGAGTTCGGAAAGCTGGCAGGTAACTCCGACGTTTACGTGGGCGGCATGCCTAGCTGGTACAACAGCAAGCTCACGTTACTGGCGCTACCGAGCGTGATCTTCGAGCCGAGGTTCAACGGGTTCATCAGGAACCTCGTGTACGCCGACGGGGAGAACACGGTGCCTAAGAGGCAGGAGATGAAGAGTCGGGACGCCAAGGTAAATGAATTTTCTCCTCTGAGATCTCGGAGTATTGAACCGTGAGCGCGCTCGCGGTGAACGGGGTCTGCAGGATATATTTACTGGTGCGTAGGATGTATGAAAGACTCGGGGTATGAATGAGATCGAACGCGAGCCATGGATAAGTATAGAGTAAGAAGTTAATTTCATACGAAGAATGAACTATACTATGGTATCGATTTCTACATTATATGTATATAAATATCTGTTCTTTACATAACGTTCTCTGTATTATAGAGATTCGTGTATTCTGGATCAAATAATGAAGATGACAGGGTAAAATTGTAAATGTTTCAATGATCAGGGAACACTTAGCGTTTCTGTTTGAAATTCATTCGCGATGTGATTGTTGCGTGCAATAATGGGGTCACTAGCCCGAGATAGGAGATTTGCGTGTCATTGTGTTGGAAGTAAATCGGCAGTACCATCCTTCAAATAATACGTCAAAACTAGTGGGAAGCGTTCCGATCGATAGTCAGAGGAGGGCAGTGTCGCCGCAGCGTCTTCTCTAATGGCCAGTTTATTTTTGGCCCCTCCGAACGTATTTGTGATTTCGTGGAGGGAAGTTTTCGTTCCGAGGTCTTCGATCCGTGACACGTCTCAGGGGTGGATTATCCTGAGTCAGCTAAAGTGAAATAACTTTTGACACAGCCACTGTTTACTATCATTATCGTTGACGGGACACACGCTCACAAATCCTTTTAATATAAAAGAATTTTTCCCATTTTCTTGTACAAAGTTATATATAAATTAAATCAGAATTCTACGTGACACGGTACGCCGAATGTTTTAAATTAGATCGTCGATCGCGTATATCGCGAGGTAAAAAATTTCATATCGGGAGTCGCCTAAGATTTCGCTGTGTCCGCGTAAATCTGGGCCAGCCATCGCATAGCGTGCAGATGTATTGTTACGCACTGCTGCTGACACCATTTTGCTACTTCATAACGTGAGGCTCATTCCGAAGAAAGAAGAGAGGAAAAAAAACGGAAGTCATGTTCCGTTCTTTGTAGCTGTCACTGAAAATTCTGTGCCTCACTGTCCCCGAAACGCAATCTCCATTTAATAGCAGAGGAAAATCATGTTAGCTTATTTTATGAATAAAAAAAGGAAAATCCTGTTCCCTGATATAGTTTTGCCGCAGCCGGCCGCGTAAATCAATTATGAACTCCTAAAGTAATTTAATGTTTATCTGGTTTTCGCAAGCGCGCCTGTCTGACCAGCACATGCTGCAACTACTTAGACTTGTACGCGACCGAAAGGTTTTATTTGAATATTCAAATACCTATTTAAATGTCAGCGAATAAAGAACATCGTTCGTGAAATATTTGAAACAATTATATATTCTTTCTTTAAAAATAGTTTCAACTGGAGTTGAATTAAAAATTGCAGCAATGAAGCCCGAATTAAATTGCTGTGACAAGTGACAATTAAATCTCAATTTGGTTACTCGCTTAATACTATTATATGTCGTTAAAAATTGATTAACAATTCTGTCGTATCGCATATTCAGTTTGAACGAACGCATACTTCACTGGTAAAAATTTTCGCCCAACGATTTCCCAGCAGAAATACCATTTTCCTTTCGGCAACCTTTCCCTGCGGGGAAATTCCTCTGTCGGATTCCACGGGCCGAGACAAACTGCTCGCCCGAATACGAATGAAACACGAAGGATGAATGTAATCTCGAACGTTCCTCGGGAAGGTCTCCGCGAAGGTATCCAAAGGACGGGGCCGAGGGAAATACAATTTCTGGCACGTCGATAAATCCGAGTCGTCCGCGCGCATTGTAGGCGACGTTCGTTGCATAGGACACGTTCTGATGTACGGAGGACGATAACGTCGACTGAATTATTTCATGCCTTGCAAGACCTAACTCTATCCCTGATTACGCTATTTCTCATCTAATTGTCTATAGACAAACCTTTACTTAATCGTGCGTAGATGCGGCTGGCAAACGAGCAGCGTCGTCAGAATTTCAAGGCTTTGACTTAATAATTAACAAGCTGTTCTTGGTATTAAATAATTACATATTGCAAGATCGAAGGAAGATCACCCTTTCCTTGATACAAGCGATTTCTTGTGCAATTGTTTATAGATATATCTTTACCTAATCGTTCATAGCTACGTCTGACAAACGAGCAGCGTCGTTAGAATTTCAGGGGTCCGGTGTAATAACGAACAAGCTAGGATGCATTCTTGGCATGCGGCCACCACGAGAAATATGAACCTCCGCGGTACTGGCAGGGACAATACTCGATTTCCTTTCAACGGAACTTCCTTGCGTTTTCGTTATCCGCGCGGATAGCAATGAACTTTTTTTGCGCTGACCATTCTAAATTGCACCTCCCTGCAGATTATTGATATTTTTAATACAAAGTTTCCGCGAATCTTGGTTACAGTATATCTTCGCATTGTATAAAAATGTTATGTACCACGATTATTTAGTATATGACTTATATAAATTCACTGCATATCGAAAGCAAATTAACTCGCTTGTAGATACACAGCATGCAAATCGTCGGCGGCGAATCCGATAGTTAGAAACTGGCGCGATCGTAGGTGGAAGAGCGTGGAGCAAACATTCGCGGGTTGATTGCTGAGCGTTAATATTATTGCTTCCCAGCGAACGGAGACGTATATGCAAACCGATTATCATGTCCCGTGAATGTGGCGCGGCAGCTGAGCACTATTTCACGGCTACTATAAATACTTGTCGCGGAAAGAGTAATTCCGCGCGCGGGATTGTTATTTATGCAGCTTAAATACGAATTACATCGGGCTTAACGTACACGTAAGGATGCATTCGGTCAAATGGATCGGACGGATGAATCCATATTCAAGATCGTGAATATAAATGGAATCTTCGTGTAAGTAAAAAAATAAATGATTAGTATTAAATTTTTACATTGAACATGTAATTTGATAGTTAGAACAAAATACAAATGAGATTGGATATTAAGTCTCTAATTCGGAGTGAATAGCAAATATTATTAAATCATTATTATTAATTTAGTGTTACTAAAACTTTATTATCAATTTTCACTATGGATCGTATATGAACCAACGATAATGCCAAATTTCGATTGATTACGCCAATATCTCATGTTCGTGTGCACGTAACACAAGGAACATGTGTATTCGTTGCAACGAATGAAGGATCGCAGAGAAGATATGTAAGGCAAGCAACAAAAGAGGAATTACAGGCTTTGAACACAGGTTTTAGAGCAAGTTTCGAGGTAATAAATCGGCGGAGATCGATAAGAATCTTAAGCTTGCGTTGTACAATCTCGAAATACATGTATCTTAATAACGGTGGAACAGTTCGGATCGAGACGATCGCGTTCGATCCGAGTGCTTAATAATCTTCCCGTAAATGTTTACCAGCGGAAGAAAGGCAGCGCACGAGGCTCGTTCGTTTCACAACGTCTCATCCGGAAAATCGCGTTTATTATTTCGCATAATCGTTTATTACGCGGCACAATGCGACGCGATAAGCCGGGCCGTGTTAATGTATGCAACGTGCACGAGCGACGGGCTATCAATTATGCATGTTCCAGCTATGTTTTCCGCGTTTCAATTCGACGCGACGCGACGGAACGGTATTGAACGGTTCACTTCGGAGTTCACGGGGCATCAAAAGAAACGAAAAAGACGATAAACGTGATTAATAGACCAAGGGGGGGCGAAGGATATCGTTGCTGGAAAGATAAGTCCCCCATTCGACGTTGACTGATCGCCGTTGGATTAATCGCCACCGATACTCGCAGAACTTATTTCATTTTTCGACGCAGCAATTAGCGGCACGTTCCGCGATATAATTATTCAACTGGCCTTTTCACAAGCCAGATTTGATTAATTTTCTTAATCTGATACAACGTAATTAATGCTACGAACGTTATTGGAATCTGACTACTTGGAATCAGCGTTAATCGCGAGTAATTAGTATTAACGAGAGCACGTCTATTCTTATAGAAAGACTGTTAAAAGTAGTACTTATAAAATCAATGTATTAGTACTGAATTTGATATAATCAGATCCAATAAAGTTAATTTAATTTATTATCACATAACGTTATAATTATTAAAAGCAATGCAAGGTTCTTTCTGTGCTAATAAAAATGAAATAAATATTAGAGTAATAGGTGCGCGCTATCATCGTTACCGTAACAGATAACGCAGCCATGATCTATCAACGAATGATGGATGGGATTTGTAGATTATGTGTCGATCAATACTGCGCGTGCACGCCCGTGTATCGCCGGACGCGCGAAATTTACCTTTGAAGCGATTGATAAATGTGTTTGCATTTCTTATACGCATTTGGGACAGTTATGTAGGGCGCAGCATTGAATTCGCGGTAATGTAACACGTTAGGCGTGCGTACACGCCAATAATTGAAACGTGTCGACCGAATACGAGGATCATGATATTGATTGAATTCGCATCGCGCGTTTGACATATCCATCACCCTTAGGTTTAGCAGTTTATATAGATTCTCCAAATTTGACGACTAAAACTAGATAGACAGTCGCAGGTACAGAATGTCATAATGTAAAATTTATGGTACAATACAAAACAATTGTTACTGTGATATAATTGGGGGAGAAAAAAAAGGAAGACGGGAAAAATTAGAGAAAGCTTCCAATTTTTGTATGAATTTGGGTTAAACTAATATGTACTCGCTTATGGAAGGAGCTGTATGCAAAATTAAAGCAAACGATTGCGAGTTGCATAACAAATTGCGACGTGCTTGAAATTTTGAGGGGCCGGGTTTAACTATGTGTGTGGCTGTGTTGATAAGATCAGCGTGGGCGTCCTGTTACAGTAACTAGGTGGATTATCGTTAATGCCCCTCTCTGCGAGATCACTGCTACCCTTCAGATGTATCAGCATTTCGAGAGGTCCTTGCGTGGGCGGATCTTGAATATTTCAGATTTATGGAATTACTAATGAGGGTGTAGAGATGCGTCAACAGTT